AGCTGGCAAATTTCGCTGCAATTGAATTCGCTCAATTCGCTGCTCACTTACAGGCAAAAGCGTGTGCATAAAACGCATTGCCAAATAACTGTTAATGCAAATGCGACGACATCAACGACAACAACAACAACAGAAACAAGCAAAAAGAAACGGCTTATTTTAATACGCCGAAAATTAAATACCCTAGCCGGACATGTGGGTTGACAGTGCTTTTCAACAAATGTTTGAACGTCCGACCGATTCTTCCCTTCTAATAATGTCTTGGGTGAATAGTAAAAGTCATAAAAGCAAAGAATCGGCTGCTATACATGAAGTGATTCCTCTTATAAATATAGTATTTCAATGTGAATACGATTTTGCTTTATCCACTCGGCTGTTGCTACTGATCCAAAAAAACATACACCTGATGAGCCCGGAGACGATTGAGTCTTTCTCTATAGCTTGTACAGTATTCCAACCTAAATATGATTTTTCTAAAGCAACTCAGCTGTTGATACTGATCAAGAAAAGAGACGTCTATATTGCCCGCTACAAGGGTATAACAAGAACAACAACAACAAAAACTTCAACATTTCTGTTCACATTTCCGTTATTCTTGTTGTTGTTATTATTGCTGCAGTCGTTGCATTTGAATATGTAATAAAAAAAACATTTGCATTTTACATGGGCTGAGTATTGGCTGCGGGTGGTTGTGTCTGTGAGTGTGAGTGTGTGTGGGTGTGTATGCGTGCGTGCGTATGTATGTTTGCGTGCGTGCGTATGAATGTTTGGTTGCGTGTGTGTGTGCGGCTTAGTTTGGCATTTTGTTGTAAATTGCCTTTGGCAGCCCTATGTGCAAATAATGTAGCGCGCTGTTGTTGTTGTTGTATTTGGTGTTGTTGCTGTTGCAACGAGGCAACGTTTTATAATCGGCCTTCGTTACACGCTTGCAGGCGACTTTTGCGGTTTGTTTGGGGCAGTTGCAAAGCTCTGCCATCATATGCTCTATGCGGATTGTTGTTGTTGTTGCTGTTGCTGTTGCTGTTTATTTGGCGTTGCCAGGCTGTCAGTTTTTGCATTGGCTGTCGCGTAAAATATGCGCGCATTTTATTTAACGCCTTTTTTGGTGCAGCACCAGCCTGCCCGCCCCTCCCCCCGCCCACTCATACATAATGGTTGGCTGGTCAAGTCCGTGTCAGCGACTTAATTGCAAACTCATATTGGCCGGCTTATAACGCGTCAATAACACATTTGTGCCCCGACCCTGGCGTAAAATGGAATTTTCACATCTGCCAGAGTCGAATATAATAGCATTACGATCGATTTTTAAATAAACTCTGATTTGTCTTTAGCTATTAAATGATGTTTGGCTGGGACCAGCTAAATTTTTCTAGCCTATGACGACAGGGCTGCAAACCAGAAAAAGAAATGTCGCTAGTTCGACACTTAGTTCGCACCAACTCCCACAGACTTGAACCCAGATAATTGCAGCTTTATAAATAATTTTGGTTCGCTTCGGGGTTAATTTCGGCTATTATGTATATTTATTTTTTAAAAGTTTTTTAAATACTCTTTAAATTAAAATATATTTTTCAATTAAAATTGTACTCTATATTTTAAAATTTTTAAATGTAAACATATTTTTCTTAAATTTAAGTTAAAATATATTTCTAAATTTAAATTTAAATATATTTTTTTTTAAAACAGTTTTTTAAAATATATTTCTTAATTTTACGTTTAAATATATTTTTTTATATTTATTATTTATCAATATATATTCACATTTCCATAGCTATATTATTTTTTAAAAATATCATATTCTTTTTCACCAATAATTTATTACCATAATTAATTAATTTAAATGGAACTTTAAGCATTCCATAGACCAATCCTCAGCCCTTTTAAAGGTCATCTCACTACCGCCAAAAATATATTTTAATTATATTAAATTTACTTTGTGCTTAATTAGCAAATTTGAAATTTTTGTTTATATATTTGATATGTTGTTGATTTTGTATCGAAACAGTTTAATTACATCGCTTTTCCCTTTTTAGCCAGAATTTCTGAGCACTTTGTTATTAAATGTTTGTACGCAAATCCAATTAAAATAATTTGCCAATAATAATATGCAAATTTGGCTAAAACCAAAACCAAAGCACTCGAAAAAATTTGTTATCAAAATAATTGTTTGGTAAATTGCAAAATTTTGCGGCCGTAAATGTCAAAAAATTAAAAATAATACATTTTACAGTTTGCAATTAATCTCTAAAAATATTTGTAAGCCGCGAAGGGATCACATGTTGTTACCTCTAAATGCCCTCGCCCCCCTCCCTCCCCCCTACCCCTCTACATGTGCATTGCTTTATTAATATTAATTGAAAATAAATGCAGCATAAGCTGCGTCGGTCAAAGGGCAGGCAGCAGCGGGGCGGTTAGGAGGAAAGGGGGCGGGGCACAGCCGGCGGCGGCGGCGGCCGAAAATTCAGTAAAATGCAAATAATTAAATGGCAACCAATAAAATATGCAAATGAGTTGCGCGGTGTCGCGCACAGGACACGGGACACAGACACACACACACACACACACACACACACACACACACACACACACACACACACACACACACACACACACACACACACACACACACACACACACACACACACACACACACACACACACACACACACACACACACACACAGGCAGAGAGAGGCGCTGAACATGCACAACAAATGCAGCATGGAGAACAGCCAGGCTCTGGCACATAGAACTGCGGTTCGCGCTTGGCCATGGGCGGGTTTGGGTTACCGTAATAAGGGGTTACCGTAAGGGGGGTGGGGGTTTATGCATATGGCATATTCACATGCTTAACAATTTATTTCTTGTATTTGGCAAGCAGATTTAATTTCCTGTGCACCAAATTTTGTTAAATATGCTGTTGGCCAATACAATAAGAACTCAAGTGCGAGCGAGACGGCCTGCATAAATTGCTGCTGCCGATTGGCTAACGGGATATTTTTGGTTGCCTTCCATAATTATTTGATACATATAAATAAAGGTATATAAACTATATATATATATATATGTTTGGACGATTCAACTAATAAATATACGTGCATTTAGCCTTAGATTAGGCCCAACTGAATTTGTTATTAGCCAAAAGTTGATTTTTGAGAGTCCATTTGTTCTGTTTGTTAGAAAATTCGACTCTGCGCCCTACAATGGATCAGGTAAGCCTGGTCTGCATAGTCGAAAATTATGGTATTACGAAAAGCTACAACACTTTTGACTTTTACTTTCCACATCTTGAAGTGCACAGAACTTAAAACTAAGCATAGATTAAGTTAATCTGGGCTTAAGATTTACGTATTAGAATTTTAATTAATATTGATATTTAATTAAATTAATTGGCTAATTACATGACAAATTAGATATACTTCTATATAGTCTCACACAACATTTTTTTATCTTAATCTTGCACTTTCACTAAATACTGATATATTGCAGATAAAGCTTTAAATACTATCTCTATATATAAAACTGTTTGTCCTGACTGACTGACTGACTGACTGACTGACTGACTGATTGGTGATCAACGCACAGCCCAAACCGTAAGAGCTAGGAAGCTGAAATTTTCACTGTAGCTACCTTATGTGATGTAGGTGCACGTTAAGACGGGATTTCGGGAAATTCCACCCGCAAGTGTGGAAAAATAGCGAAAAACGTTTGTATGTAACTTTTTTGTTTACCATCCGATCGGCCTCAAACTTATTTTCAAAGATCTTTGTTCAAATTCATTTGAGGGGTGTTTCGCACTTTTTGGAAAATGAATCCCTCCTTGGTGGAAATGGAGGTCAAAAATTTGGTGGGTGACGTTTCGCGCTCAAATTCATTTCCAGAGATCTATAAGAAAAATCATTTGAGACGTGTTTTTCACTTTTCGCAGAGTTCAAACTTCTTCGGGGGGAATGCGATTTAAAGATTTTTTGGGCGACGTTTTAAGTTGTTTCCGATTTGCTTCAAACTTATTTTCAAAGCTCTACATAAGAACTTAATAAATACGTATATTAGCGATTTGGGCAATTCCACCCGCAAGTGTGGAAAAATCGCGGAAAACGTTTGTACGAAAATTTTTTGTTTACCATCCGATAGGCCCCAAACTCATTTTCAAAGATCTATGTTCAAATTCATTTGAGGGATGATTCACACTTTTTGAAAAATCCATCCCTCCTTGGTGCAAATGGGGGTCGAAGATTTGGTGGATGACGTTTTGTGTTCAAATTTATTTCCAAAGATCTATAAGAAAAATCATTTGAGACGTATTTCACGTATTTCGCAAAATCGAAACTCCTTCGGTGGAAAATGCATTTCAAAGTTTTTTTTGGTGAATTTTAAGTTCGTTTATTTTATAACATACGTGCCACGGGCAAGGCCGGGTTATAACCGCTAGTATTCTATATAATAATTAGCTAAGCTATAGTTCTGCTTACGTGTGCTAAGTGCCTGAAAGCGTTTCAGAAGTGGAAAAAACATGGAAAACGTTGCAAACTTTTTTACTGGAGCTTACCAAAAATTCACGTACAAAAGTGAAAGAAATGTGGAAAACGTTTTTGCTTGAAGCTTTGATACCCAAACTCAGGCGCAGAAGTGGAAAAAACGTGGAAAACGTTTATATGAAACTTTCGCGCCTACCATTCGATCGGCCTTAACCCAAATTAAGTGATCTTTCTTTAAACTCCTTTGAGAAGTGTTAGTAAAGTGCGGGTCAAAGGTTGTAGAAGCAAAAGTTAAGATATGCTTCGATTAGTTATATATTAATTTTTCAACTTTCCACTGGCGGGAAATGGCCGAAAAAGTGAATAAAATTAGCTTAAATATGTAGAAAAAAACTGACACGGGCAAAACCAATTAATATCCGAAATATATACGATCCCCAATCCAAACAATTTCCCAACTTTCAATCTCGACCCAATCTATTTAATATAATTGAATATAACTAATAACTCGCTCTGTCGACAGGCTTTGGATTACGATTGCGAGATGCAGGGTCAGCAGGACATACCGCAGGCGATTCAGCTGCTGGGCGAGATGAACAGCAATGTGAAGCAGGTGACGGATCTGGTCGAGGGAATGCTGCAGCGCGTCAAGCGCGGCGAGCTGAGCACAGAGTACGGCCTGAGCTTTCTGGAGGTCAAGTACCATATGCTGCTCGACTACTTGATCAATCTGACATATGTGGTGCTGCGCAAATGCTCCGGCGAGACCATCGAGGGCGATCCCTCGATCGAGCGCCTGATCGAGATACGCACCGTGCTGGAGAAGATCCGGCCCATAGACCACAAGCTGCGCTATCAGATTGACAAGCTGGTCAAGACGGCGACAACTGGAGTCTCGAGCAGCACAGATCCCATACTCTACAAGCCCAATCCCGAGGAGATGCTCAGCGCTGCCGGTGCCGAGGCCGAGGAGGAGGCGGCTGAGGCAGCCAGCGACAGCGATGAGGATGACGATGAGGATGACGACGAGGAGGGCGACGGGGCAGGCGCTGCGAAAAAGCCGCGCAAGGCGGCCACAGCTGGCAAATCGGGCGTCTATGTGCCGCCGCGCATTAAGCCCGTCTACTACGACGGCGATGAGCGGGACGCGGACAAGGAGCAGAAGGCTCTGGAACGTGCCAAAAAGCGAGCCATCACGTAAGTCCATATCTGTCCAAATATAGTCGATGCTAAATCAATTTTCCCCCTAGCTCGTCGATGCTGCAGGATCTGAAGGAGGAGTATTTGGATGCGCCCACTGAGCTCTCCTCGGGCTCGCGCGCCCAGCAGCTGCTCTCGCAATCGCAGAAGGAGAAGCAGGAGTACGAGGAGACCTACCTGGTCCGTCTACCCGTCACCAAGGCGGAGAAGCATCGCCAGCGAAAGCTTACCACATTGGGTTAGTCTTCCATTTATCTAAAATTAACTTACATTTATTTATGCATATTTTATGTGTTTAACAGGCACTCTGGGCGATGAAATTCTGGGCGAGATCAATCGGGAGTCGGCGCTGCGTGGCGATGGGCTAAGCAAAAAACGCAAATTGGCCAAAAGCCGCGGCAAGGGCAAGAAGCGCGTTGGCAAAAAGCGCAAGTTCCATTAATAGGCCGAGGCGCGAGCTTTGAAAGAGTTTTCCAATCGATTCAAATAATTTGAGTTTTCCATTCATTTATGATATTCGCAACAGAATGCAATCGAAAGCTTAGAACTTTTTGATTGTTTCTTCAGTTCATATTAATTATTATTATTACAAAAACAAACTATTTTGTTGCATTTGCATTGTTTTAACCAAATTCTGTTTACATTTTCGCTTAATGTTAAGTTTTTGACCTTTAATTTTTGCTTAATTATAATTTCCCTTAAATCGATTTCATTGTTAAAAGTTTACTTCACAAAGGCAACGTTTTTTGGCGTTGGATATTATCAAAAAAATATTAATTTTTCTATATAATTAAGCAGGCAACAACAACAACAAAATGCCAAAAAAAAATGCGTTAAAAAAACACAAAAAAAAAAAGAATTAACAAAGAAAAAAAAATCATGTATATGCGCATTGTAAACTGCATTAAATTTAGGCCACAAAATTAAGTACATAATATTTTCTTTCGACTCACGCTAAAAATGTATTTTAAACTAAATTAAGCAAATACAAAATTGAATGGCGAAATTGAAAGCGAAATTCAAAATTAGCAAGAACAAAAAAACAAGTTAAAAAAAACCCTTCTAGTATATTTATAAATGAAATTTCCACTTAAAACTAAACTTTAAGGCACAGCAAAATTTTTGCATTTAGCAAAAAACCAAAAAACAAAACCAAAACTCAAAAACGTTTCGTTGTTTTTAGGAGTCCAACTAAAATGAAAAACACATTTTGGCTGCTTACGATATGCTTTCAAAAAAAAAAAAATACTTGCAAAAAAGTTGAGCGACAAAATTCAAATTCAAAAATGCAGTTCCCAGTCACATGTAAAAATTCAAAAAGAAAAAACCAAAAACATATACAAAATACAAAAATACAAAACTGAACACAAAAAATTACAAATTCTGTAACAAAAAGCAGTTGCCTTAACAAAAAAAATACAAGAGACCGGTTATACTAACAGTAAGAAAGCTTAGGCTTAATGAACAAAAGAGGAATTAAATATTTGACAACAACTTTTCTGTTGCAACACATAGAAAATCAAGAAAGTCAAGAGAAATATACCTATATAGCATATGATAAACGTAAGCCCCACCCAAAACTACATTATACAGAAATTAACTTGAAGCTACCCAAACAAGATTCCCAATTTTTATGGCACGTTCCATTCCAATGTGTGAGGCTCTGGATATTTTATAGTTTCAGGCCGTTTCTTGTTTTACTCAACTAAAAAGAAAACAATAAAAGAAAACCTGAAGAAAAGCAACTAGAAAAAAAAACTGAAAAAAAGAAAACTCCTAAAAACAACTGAATTTGGACACAAAATTTTATATATTTACTATACGAGTATTTAATGATTAACTAAATTTAAGCAACATTTTTGAATAACCCAAAAAAAGTATAAATGAAAAAAAAAAAACTTAAAGAAAATGGAAATTAAGCCAGCGTACGTCCAGTTGAAAAGTTGAAAAGTTTCTCAAATTTAGCCAACGCCGGAAAATTAAGCGAAAAACTAAGCAGTTTATGAGACGAAGGCGCATATAAGAGTTGAACCAGCAGTAAATGGAGTCATATGAATGATATATTACAAGCATATATAATTATTACAATAATATGTAAATGATAAAAAGAGAGAAACAAAAAACAAGAACCTAGCAACTAGAATTAAGTTAAAGTACATTTAAAGAAAGCAAAGCAAAGCAAACTTTTGGCTTTTACAACAAACTTCGACTAAGGATGAAAAATTGTTTTTTCCAAATTTCCATCAAATCGCGATCGACGCATCGCTATTTGAGATATGTATATGAACTATATAACTTTTTGGCTATAAACTTTAAAGAGCGCAAAATAAGGCAGACATCGGAAATTACCACATAAATGCAATAGAACACGAAATTATTTACAGGCAGCACTTGAACATTTTGTAATGCGATTAAATAAATTAATTTAATTAATTTATTTATGTTGAAAGCTGAAAGACTGAATATGTTAAATCAAACACGATACGTTAACGAAACGAAACGAAACGAAAACGAAACGAAAACGAAACGAAACGAAAACGAAACAAAAAACAATGTGTAAAACTTTTCTCAAGCAAAAAAAAAAGTAAGGTTAAAGTGAGACGTGGTATGGAACTTAAATAATTTTAATAGCCGAATTTCTAGCACAAATTATTAAGACTAAAAGATATTACTTTTTTTTTTAATTTTTCATATTTTTTTGAATATTGTTTTGTTAACATTTTGTGTTCACAATTTTTCGGTTCTACTTCTTCCATTCAAATGCAATTATTCGTTTTTTGTGTAAAATGAGAATATGGTAAAAAAAAACCGCAACAAAAGACAAAACAGACAAAGAGACAACGGACAACAAGACAAAACAGACAACAGAGAAAACAACTAATATTGTTGAATATATTGCAAAATGTAAAACACAAAACGAATAACAAAACAATGTGAAAACAACCAAACAAAAGTCGCCTTAGCCTAGCACCAAACACAAACAAAACGAAACGAAACGAAACGAAACGAAATGAAATGAAACGAAACAAAAATAAATGAAAAGAGAAACCAAATGGTATGAAACATTTGTGAAACATTCAAAAAACAAAAGCAAACACACTCTAAAGCAAATACTTAAACTTAAATATCAATTATTTGTTGTAATTTAAACACACACACACACACACACACACACACACACACACACTCATGCACAGAACTAGTGCATAAAGTTCAAAAAGCAAACCTAAAAAAAATGTAACTTAATTTTTATAGCCAAAAAAAGAAGATGACGAAGAAGAAGCAGCAGCAGCAGGTAATAGAAGAACAGGTGGAATAGCGGGATCTTAGGATCTTCGATTTAGTTTAAGCAACTCCAATAAATTTTACAAAAATCAATTGGTTTATTAGTGATAGCAGAGACACGTTTTTAATAACAAATTCGAGCTTACATTTATTTCAAAAACAACACACACACACACACACAGCGAAAGAAAAGCCCTTCAACATTAGTTCTCTCCAAACTGGAATTGTTTAAAGCAAAAGTAAAAAGTACTAATACTATGATGTTGTATAGCAGCAGCAGGTGAGTCAAGTTTAAAAGTAGTGTTTAATGTGCACATTGCAATTGTGTGTGTAAATGGTTGGCAGTCGAAACTATGTAAAATTGATATAATTCGAATTAATCTACCATTTAATAATAATAATAACTATAATAATACTAGTAAGCCACAAGTAAAAAACTAACTAATAAACCAAAACCACAAACGATGATAAAAATAAAATTTAAATCTTACAAACCTAAAACTATCAACAGCTAATTTATTGTTTATTTCTTGGTGTGTTATTCATAAACATACAATCCGCCCAACTCATATAAAGTATTTCTGATTTTAGGTCAATTGAATGCGAATCATGTTGCTGGGAGCTCAGAAAGGTATGTCCCTAATAATGATATGACCACGTTATTGCTGTAAATAGAATATGTATTAAAAAGCTCTAACGCAGTCATATTCTTATTGATTTTGCTATTTTACGAGAAAGTCGGTTCTGTTATCAGTCACTTTTAATATAATATACTCTTATTGACGATTCCAATAAGGCAGTATGTCTCATAATCTCAGCCTAAAATTGTAAGTCATATTGTCTAGTGGGGTTACAGAATTAAGATGAGAGCACGCAAAGCAGACAAAAAAAAATGTGCAAAAAACACAGAGCAGGTCGTTTGAGCGCTGTGCATCAGTAGATAACTCGCTTGTTTGGTGATCCCTCTGCATACACTTGCTTGTGTGTGTATGCTTGTGATTTATCTACTTCACTGTGCTCCCACGAACGTATGTATGTGCTGTTACTTATCGCTCTCAACAAAAATTGCTTTCGGCTTGCGACTCCGCAACAAGATCCTGCAAGTGTGACCCCAGTAGTAAATATGAATTGCTGTTGTAATGCGAATTATTGTAAAAATATTTGAAGTAATCGATTAGACCACCTCGTTCACAGCTTATTTACCCGAAATACGATCTTTTGATGTTCTTCCATAATATATATAATATAATGATAATCCCACTCAACCAACAATGCAAGTTCTTCAGCCTGCCTGAATATGTACATATGTATGTAAGTCAAGTTGTCTAGTGGGGCTCAACTAACACAGAATTATGTTGAAAGGGCGCAAAGAGGAGAGTAAAAACGACGCAGCACAGAAAAAAAACAAAGCTGTGCGAGTGTTTTGCATGAATAGATAACTCATATATACACATATGTATATATTTGGCAACCATTCTGCATACACCTATTTGTGTGTGTGTATGCTTGTGAGATATCTTCTTATGCATCACGCTCACACTAATATTGTTGTTGCTTATCGCTCTCAATAAAGTTTGCTTGTATGATGGGTATTCATCTTATGATCGTTTGTTAGTTTTACGCCAGCAGTCAATACGATATGCTGGTAAGCATCGCGTTATAGTCGGTTAAAGCAATAAAATAAATATTAAAGATAAATCTAAATAAATCGGTATTCAAATGGCCTTCAAATTGGCCTTAAAATATTTCAATTTTAATGTTTCACAAAGTTACGTTTTTAACAAACAAGATATCACACGGAATTATACATCTTGGAAAATTAATTAAAGCTGTTCTGGGCAGGGGAAGATTGTTCAGCCTATTTGGGTGAGCAAGTTATTTCGCATAACATAACGTTGACTATTGTGGTCAAATGAACACAGAATTAAGTGTGGTGCAAAGCAAAAATCTTGCTTGGAGCAACAACATGTGTATGTATGTAAACATGAGTGCGATGCACTTGTGTAGTAGATAACTCACAAGATGAAGACAAATGAAGAGATAACCAAAACAGGCCATCTTTCTCTTTCTTTTGCCCATGAATTTACGTGCACTGGTTTGTGTGGATGTTTGCTTGTAAGTTATCTACAACGCTTATGCATCACGCTCATACGCGTTTACATACATACTTATTCAGTTGCTTATTTTATGTACGGTACGCTTTCGTCCGCCTTGCCCATCATTTTGTATTAGTTGACCCCAGTAGTCTTTTAAATAGCGGCTTCCTTTAATTTAGAAATGCTCGTTGATAACTTTAAAGAATAATCTATATTGAATTTATTTTCTCAATTTAAATGTGCTCACGGCCAAGGCAAAAGCCCAATCACGCCCGATAAAATCTACACATTTGCAATTAACAGCGGCTATGAAATGTTTTTCCTTGTACTTTGTCTACTTATTAATGTGTGTCTGCTTAAGCGTTATCTACAAATAATCTACAAATAAACCATCAATATTTGTTGTTGCTCATTGCTCCTAACAAGAATTTATCTTATTACCGATTGCTTGATCTCTTTTATGTGTGCCGTTTCTTCGTCCGTTAGTTATGTATGTCCGCATATGTAGATAATGCACAAGCACGCATTTACACATGCATACATACATACATATTTACGCTCGAATTGGACAGTCTCATCTCATTCTGAGTTAGTTTTACTTCAGAAGTCAATAAGACGTGTTGTTTTGTTGAGAATTAAATTCGTTCGAAGCTATTGAAAAATATAATTGTAATATCTCTGTGAAATAGAGTCCAATTTGCGATTTATGTATGTACCTTCTCGGACGCTTATCCATTTATTTAGTTTCCTTCAGCTGGGAAACAGTGCTCGGTTCCGTATCGTATGGCGTGCGCTTGGACGGCGATTTAATACTTAACCAATCCCATTGCTTGTTTTCCATATTAGACCCCATCGATTTGTACGATATAAAATAAAGTAAGAGCATAAATAAAAGGCCATTTAATT